TATATATAATTATATACAGTACACAATACTATAAAACATTAAAATGCGATATTATTCACAGTCTACTTTAATCACATATATATGTACTCTTGCTCTAATTTAAAAATATGTATATACATGTAGTTAAATACACTATCTATGTTCATCACAAAACCAATCACTACTAACTCCTGCACAAGTTTGATGGGTTCATTTGCTAAACGTAACTCTTCCTTGTGTCTTTCGGACTTGTGTCTGAAAAGCGTCTCTGTCTTGTGTCTGCAAAGCGTCTCGGTATGGTGTTAGTCTGGTGTGTTCAGCTAGTAAAGGTAATGGCAATGCAAGAGACATTCTGATATAATAACGTTGGTAACTAAGTTGTAAGCACTTTGTTGAATATATTTTTATTCTGACTAAAAACTATTCAAAATTGACTATTTATAAAAAGTTAGAGCGTTGATCTGAATTCGCTAATTATTTGATATATGCTTATATATTTTATTTGTAAAATTTATAGTTAAATTTGTGACCGAGCAATATTTAGTTCGTGTAACAAGATTCAGTGATAATCCAATTAAAAGATTAAAATGAAATGTTTATTTAGACTTGTGATCCATTTATCACCTAATATCAATAAAAGGTGTGAATTACAACCGGCACACGTTCATGTAATTAAAACATTCCAATCGACGAACACGCGCGCGTCTTTAAATTACATATGGTTTATTGGCAAACAATACTATTATTTTCAATGTATAATTAGAATATAGCAAAGTACTCTCGACCAATGAAATTGTAGGATTGGATGCCTCTTAATTGTGAAGAATGAATGTAAATCATGTTCTTAGTAAGGGATTATCCTATTATTTGGGTCTATTTACAGTTCAAAACAAAGAGTTTCTATAAATGAGTTACAACTGCCCCGAAGCACATTTATCAGATTGAAAGGATTTATCACACAGTGATTGAAACTGACTAAAAGTTGAGTTGTGAAACAAACAAAAATCTCAAAATAATTTGAAGTTTACTGGTGCAGTAAAATTGGTACCGTGAATGTTATTATGAAAATATTAATAATTTCAAATTACTATAAAATTAAACAATACCAAAGAAATGCAAAAAAAAAAGATAAAAATCTTTCAGATAAAAAATAACCTAAATCTTTAGCTTTCCAAAACTTTGATTACTTGATCAGCGGTTGGGGAGAATAGTTATTTCCAATACATGTATTCCGATAAAACAAAAACAGGAATTTAATTTTGAACATATTAAAAACTTTATTTTTGAACTTTTCCCTGACATAATGAAACAGTATTTGATGTAAAAAGCCGGACCAAATTATTGGCTGTGAAATAAAATTTAGTTGTAACTCAAATGTATTAATTGATTTAAACTGTAAATAAAAAAAAGGATAATTCCTCACTAAAATATTACATGATTTACATTCATACTCACAATCAGGAAACATACAATTCCTACCTTTTCTTTCTACTGTTGTGTCACCTAATATCTATAACGCATTTAAAAAAAAAAATTTCCCATATGATAAGAAAGTCCTTACATCACTAAAACTAATCAATAAATGACATGCCGAAAAGGAAGTCATGCATCAGTTATAAACATTGCACTGACAATGAAACTAATTCTTGAATAGATCATTTGAGCCTTGAGCACTTTACAATATTCTAAGTTTGTAAGAGAATGATAATCCCTTACTTCATGATAAGTACTCGCTAACGCTCGTACTTATTCATGAAGAAAGGGATTATCATTCTCTTACATATACATAAAACAGTTTAAGACATGTTTATATTAATACAGTTTAAGCAAGTTGAATTAGTTTGAATAATTTCAACGGGCAATCTTCTTTTTTTCTCTTAAGGTCCAGGTTTCATCATCAACAAGGTATTTGGTATTCGAATATGTTCCTGTATAAATATAAAGTCATTCGTTCTTTTCAATATAATTTTATTTAAAATAAAAACAAATAGAAAAATAATGTTGTATCAGTTTGAATACATCTACCCGTATGATCAATTCAGGTCTTGTCCTTTCAGGCCTTTTATTTCCCCGACAAGGTCCGATTTTTGTAACTCAACCATTATTTTTTCGATAAAATTTTTTATCATTTCAATGATATATTATACTTTTCCTATAACAAAATTCATATTTCAAGGAGATTGATTGAAAACAGTTAAAGAACTTGAATAAATCTGACCACAGATTTTCAAGTCAATTCAGGTTATTTAATTATCCGTTCAGGTCCGAGTTTTGACACCCCAACGATATTTTTCATATATATTTTTTTAATATTATCATTATATTGAACTTTTAGTTTCATAAAATCTAAGGTTGAAAAATATCCATCGAATATTAAAAACGTTATTGAAGTTAGAATAAGTCCGACCATAGATTTTCAGGTCCGTTCAGGTCTTTTCATTTCCCCGTTCAGGTCCAACTTTTGGCATCAAAAAATTGTTTTTTATTTAAAAAATTTAATTTTTAATGAAATATGGATATTGACATTTAATAAAATTCTAACTTGAGGAAATTCCATTGAATAATAAAAAAGTTATTGCAGTTTGAATAATTTGAGTCGTATATCTTCAGGTCTATTCAGGTCTTTTCAGGTCCACTTTCAGGTCTTTAGTGTAACCCGTTGTGAGTGCAGAAATTTCTGTGTTTACTAAGTGATCTGACAATTATGTGCCATTAAAAGGTTGTATTTTATGGAGCAAAGCCTCAGATAACTCATCATCATATATATCACCCTCAATTTGATTCATATTGTCCAAATCGGACCATAGACCCTCGAGGCGAAACTTTGGAACCTCGTCCATACACCTTATCGCTATTCCCGGCTGACCCGGCCGCTTGAACTTTTGACGTCAACAACAATCACTTTTCCATTGTGGCGTCAGATATTTTGTATTATGACGTCAAAATTTTACGGGAACCTGTGTGATATCCAGTAATGGCGGACAAATAGCGATAAGGTGTATTTTCCAATGCGAAATTGAAGCAGACGACAATAATGCATTTATGACATATAAAATATAAAATTTAAAGAATGGAAGACAAAATATTTTCATTTTTATTTCATATTGCTCTAAATAAATGCTTGAAAACAAACAGAAGTGAACGTAAATTAATCTATGGTTCTCATAAGGTCAAGCTTTACGTCATTGGAATGCGACTGCAATACACATTACGAGGCCACGAAACTTCACACAACAACAGCAATACACAAAAGTAAAATAGAATATTCACCAAATTAGGGCCCCAGGAGGGCATACAGCATACTAGTAAATAATATCATTCTAAACAATAACATCTGCAATGCAATCTAGACAATAGATGTGTAAAATGTGTAATAAAAAACAAAACAAAGAGAAACACACACAACAAAATAATAACAATTTATTATAATTCAATTAATATTATGTTGACATTAACTCAAGTGCACCAGGTAAGTAAGTGTATTTTGACTATTAAATAGACAGGAGGCTTAAGTAGTTTGTGCGGAGAAATCTGTATATAAAACCCACACATTAAACTATGAGGTATACTGCAAATAACATTGAATAACGGATATTATGAATAATCTGCAGTAAGCACCAAGAGTCGATGCTTAAAGGGAAATCCCTCCTTGTCCTTAATGCAGATGAGTCAAACTCCTAAATTTTTGAAAAAAAAATATTTTAAAAATATAATTTTAAGATTAATATAGATTCTGTGTCTAGCCAGCAACGATCATCAAGGGACGGTGCTACAGAATATAAAAATCTTCTTATGATCAGTGCAGGCTTAACAGAGTATATATTAAAGAGTTAAATTGAAATTATTTATTGCAGATTATGTGTTCCTGTAATAATTAGTATCTTTTGTATATTTATAAAATGCAAATAGTACACTGGGATCTTCATTATTCATTATCCAAATTAATTTGTTGTTAGTATGTAAATATTGGAAGTTTGGACACGATTTTAATATACTTTGCATCAATTCCTCTCTTTAATAAATAGGTGTCACATTTAATTAAAAAAAGAACTTCATCTTCAACCTCACCTGAGGTGCGCCTGAGACAAATTCGGTTTTGTCGTAGAGTACCCTGGTATCTGCCAGATTCAATTTGCAATTTGTGAGCAGATATTCTTAATATAGTAATACATTTCCTTTGCTCAAAAAGTTGCATTATTGACAAATAATTTTCAAAACCAAAACTACACTTGATTGTTACATAAGTTTGTAGTTTACCATCTTTATATATATCTAGCTGTTTTTTCCACAATCCTTTGGTATCCCTTAACAATCTGACCACAGTGTAATTTAAATGTTGAATATTTGCCGGTATATGGTTTTCTATACCCGTCATTTTTTTCCTTTAAAAAATTAATTGATCCATACCAAGCAGGCTTATTTGTTTCAAATAGCTTTCTAGAACAATCATGCAGCCTTTAACAAGGTAAATGAGGAATCAATATTTTCTAAACGATGCCAATATCCTAAAACATGTTTGACTATGTCATAATGCAGTGGAAAACGGCCTAATTCAGACAAAACTACAAAATTTGTACTTTTTCTATGAACACCTAAAATATACTTGCAGAATTTAATATGTAGTTTTTCACAAAATATCCTAGAGTAAATTGTATCCACCGATATGGTTTCTTTTTTAAACGTGCAGTAAAGGGATTAAAATATCCCCAAATGCTTTATTGTATGGTCAAAAACATGAATTGCATTTTTAACAGTAGGATTACAAAATTATTCCGGCAGTGGGCGGAGCTTTTTAAAAAGCAATATCTGTATAGTTTGCAAATACAGGCTAGCGATATCTTTTGGGCTGTTAATGTATGATAAGACACCCAATTGCAGGATAAAGGTAGTTCATCATGTCTTATCAAGGAGCGCTGTGATTGGATGTAAGGCTACAATATATTTTTTTATTTATTTATGAATAATTGCAGTGTGTATATTTACAATATAAATTTTGAAACCCATTTAAATGTTTTCTTTAGAATTATTCGAAAAGACTTCCAAACTTTCATAAATTTTGTGTAAAATGACGTTGGGCATGCATGGATACCATAAACAAGCTCCGTTGGAAAATGGTCATGATACTATTTGACTTCAATTTCTAAAACAGAATAATAAAGTACTAATACCACACATAACTGTTTTGTCCAGGTTTTCATTATAAAAGTGGTATATTTAGAAAATGTTAGTATTGTCGCCTATGGAAGAATGAATACTACCGTTTTCCCTGTAGTGTACGCGTAGTGTACTGAGTATACGGAATGGAAACGAGCGCTGTACGGAGATTGCCACACTGAATTGCATTATGAGTGTACACATGCCTAGTGCTTCTGTCACCGACTTCAACCCAATCAATTCACGGGATCATTGGATGAGAAGACGACAGATGCTAATCTTTATATATTTGTTTTATTATTTAAAAAAAGACTAATAATGTTACTTTGACCATAAGTCTGTTTTCATAAATGTTGTTAAGGAGTAACATTCTATTCAATAAATTGTGAATGCTTTTAATAAATAAAATTAAATGTTATGATGGAATTGCACCATGTAGTCCAGAATCGACAAATAGCAAATGTCCGGTAGTAAATGATGCTTCATCAGATGCCAGAAATCGTATTGCCTTGGCGACGTCTTCCGGTTTGCCCGCACCACCAAGAGGTTGTAGCACTTTCAACCGCTCGAGATACTAAAAAGAAAAATATTTTAAAAGCTAACCAATGAAACTAATCAATTCACTTAACAGTAAGTAAAAACATTAATAAGATTGAAAAAGAAAATGAAACTTTACTTATTTGGTGCGTTCACAGCGGATTTACCTTCACGAGGAACGCTAAAACCCCAAACATGAAAAGCTAAGAATGCTTAATGCTTAAATAGCTATATGACCAAAAGGATATAAGAATAGCTAGCGCCACAAAAGGTCAACTTTATCAGTTTCCTAAATTTGTCAATGGGGGATAAAAGAAAGTTAAACGAAAACTATGTGCGTACCAAATCACTGACTTCTGAGCTGAAGATGCTCTCAAGGACTATCGGACTCAAACTCCGAAAACAGGGGTGACGTTGCTTCGCTAAACCTAAAGTCAACTCAGCCGGTAGCAAGGTGGACGTTACCAGAGTTTCGGACTTTGTACCGGACTAGCAGTCCATTATCTAAGTGATTTTACAAAGGTGCTGACCCGTTTTAAGAGGTGATATTACAGTAATCAAGTAACCATGAAAATACGGATACTGTTTAATTAAAATTTGAAAATAATTTTAATTTTAAGGAATGTATCTCACTCATGCGTAGCTCTGGTTCTATGTCCTTGTTTGGCTTTACTTTTTGTCCCTTTTTGGTTTTATCATCTCTTCAATGTTTACAGTAGGTTAAGGACTTGAACATATTTTGTCTCGAGCGTCCATGAAGAGACATTAAATGTCGAGATGCGCATCTTATGAAGTTAAATATGTACCGTAAATGTTATTTATTTCATCTGAATATTTATAGTTCAATTGCTTTTAAAATGTTGACCAGCAACCAATTGAGTGTTTACTGTGCAAAACTATTAAACAATTTGTTGTTTGGTCGATATTGCTCGTGTATAATAGATGTCCAATGAATCCCCATTATAAACATTCTGTATGTGCCTGTCCCAAGTCAGGAGCCTGTAATTCAACGGTTGTCTTTGTTTCTGTGCCTCATATTTTGTTTTTCGTTCATTTTTTGTACATTAATTAAGCCGTTAGTTTTCTCGTTTGAATTGTTTTACATATGACTTTTCGGGGCCTTTTATAGCTGACTATGCGGTATAGGTTTTGCTCATTGTTGAAGGCCGTACGGTGACCTATTATATTTGTTAATTTCTGTGTCATTTGGTCTCTTGTGGAGAGTTGTCTCATTGGCAATCATACCACATCTTCTTTTTAAAGGTAATTCTACTCGTAATTAGAAAAATCTATCGGGTGTCAGTCATATATATATATAATTATGTATACCTGGTTTACGACGAATTACATTGATCATAGTAAAACAGTTGTTTTAATTTGTAAATGAACTGTTTACATGTCTTTTAATTTTTCGAAATTCTTAGGATTATCTACCAGAGGAAAAGATAACGTGAGCTGTATTTGGAATAATCTTTCGGAATATGGGATCCCCAACGCTCTTCAATTTCGTACTTTATTTGATTTATTTTTGTTCGGGCGTCACTGATTTTTTCATGCACTTGAGTTTTAAGTAGACGAAACGCGCGTCTGGCATACAAAATTATAAGCGGCCTTGTATTTCAGTTGAGTTTTTGTTTTTGTTTACTTACCATTTCTTTCATATCGTTTGTCCATCCAGCATTATCTGCGAATGATGTCATAATAAATCCCGGACTGCAAAAATAAATGATTTATAGAAATTACATAAAAAGGAACCGTTTTGACACAGCTTAATTTCATATTGGCCATACAATAACATTTAATAATCAAGTGTTTTCTTTTAAATTCGAATACTCACGATTTATTAGTACCATGTTATCAAGATGCATGTGCATGCAATAATCGGTAAAATGATTCACATGAAATCACAAAAAAAAATAGTACTACAATAGTCCATGCTATGGTAAAAATGCGTTCGTAAGTATTTGTTTTATGGAACTCTGTGCGACCATTATAAAACGGTGAATGAGGTCGTGAGAGATTCTTTCTTTAATTTTTAACTCTCCCTGGACAATACACCTATTTTTGGTGAGGTTTGAAAAACTGTTGTATAGTATTTGGATGTCGGTTGTTTGAATTTTCGTCTTTTGTCCCCCTTATGACCAGCGGACTGATTTCTGTCTTTCTTGTGGTACATAAAGAATACATAATTGTGCATTTCATACTATGCCATGTTCTATTTTCAAATTGTTAAATAGTCAGATTGATAGAAATATAATACTTACTTGACTGCGTTAACCCGTACTTTCTGGGGAGCCAGTTCTGTAAATACATTTTTACATTAAAGAAGGTTTTCGTTTGAAATGTTTAAGTAATTGGATCATTAAGACAAAGATAATATAAAAAAAGTTATAACGCGCTTTAATATGCCCTTATTATTATAGATGTCAGGGCTTTTGTCGTCATAACTTGTACAATTTATACTCAATGTAAGTATCGAATTTATCAAACCCATTAATACATTTGTAAATGGGGACGCAACATGATTATAATTGAATTATCTCCTGCGCCGTTTACCAAAAAATTATAAATAAAACCCATAGATCTGATTTATAAGTAAAGTATTATAACTAATATCGATAGTCTGGACGTCTTTATTAATAGAGTTAAAGACAACAGCAACATTGCAATATATATGTAAATCATACGTAGCCGATACGTTGGTCATAAAATACAAGTTTTACGCAAGGCAAACCTAGTTGTCTTTCTTCTTACAGATAATTGCTTGAATTAGAACTGTAATGTTTAGGTAACGTATAGCATTACGAACAGGGAGATATCAAGAACTTTCTATTTATAAATGAAATAACACTTTATAATTTTTCTGGATTTGCCTTCATCAGGAACACTCAATGCCAAATATTTGAAAGCCAAGGATGTATAAGTAGCGGAACACGTGAAGAGGTATATGATCAAAAGGGACCTAAACATAATAAACAAATTCATATAAGGTCAACTTTGCCTGAGGAAGTTTGAACCTCAGTTTCACATATGCAATTAAGGGAATCGAATATGATGTAATTCGAGGGATATTACACTGTGTTTATTTGACAACAGGATCTTGCTTTAAAACAAAATTTACAAGTTGTGCTTTTTCATGTTGAATTGTCCAGATAGAGATGCCGAGCACAATCAATTAAAGTGCTGATATGATATGTACATTTAAACATGGTTTCATTTCATTTAGTCTTAAATTTATCAGTTGTTATTGGCTTTGCACTATAGCTGTAACTGCAAGTGCTCTCATATCTGTACTTAGTGTCTTTTTTTGTTGTTGTTGGGATGTATAAATACCCATGCAACGTCCGGTCTGTGTTTCTGTTACTTGTTTTTCTGCTTTATATCAATCTGATGATTAAGTCCTTTTCAACTGATTTTTACAGTTTGTTCATATGTTGTACTGTTACACCACTGTCCCAGGTTAGGGGAGGGTTGGGCGCCCGCTAACATGATTAACCCCGCCACATTCTGTATGTGCCTGTCCCAAGTCAGGAGCCTATTATTCAGTGGTTGCCGTTTGTTGCTGTATATCATATTTGTATTTCGTTCATTGTTTTTTAAATAAATCAGGCCGTTAGTTTTCTCGTTTGAATTGTTTTACATTTGTCATTTCGGGGCCTTTTATAGCTGTCTATGCGGTATGGGTTTTGTTCGTTGTTGAAAGCCATACGGTGACCTATAGTTGTTAACGTCTATATCATTTGGTCTCTGGTGGAGAGTTGTCTCATTGGCAATTATACCACATCTTCTAATCTTTATAAAACCTGCAGTGGGAGAATAAATAATGTAACGCATACCTAAGGCTAACAAACGTGTGAACATATCCAAAGCAGCTTTCGCAATACAATAAGCAGAAAGATCAGGAGCCTGCAAATTAAAAATAAAATAATGCTACTGTCACGTGACACTATTATAAAATGAGAAGTTAGGTATGCGTCAAAGAGACATCAACCGAACACAATAAAACAAAAAAGACATCTAGAGGTTAACATTCAAGTGTTATTTCATAAATATACATTGCCCCTACTTTTTTGTCTAATTGTTTTGAATGATTTTAATAGAGACTTCCACGGGTCTGTCTTCAATACCAAATTATGCTGTACTATATGGACCAAAGCACGGATAATTTAATTTGGCAATAGCACAAAAATAGGTGGTGTTTTTATAAAAAAAACTTGTTTGTGATAGAATGAAAAATATAAGTTTGTGCACTGCCCAAATAAAAGTACATTCTTGTATAGAATTGTAATAGAAAATATAAATATGATGAATAATTGCATCAAGCACGATAATTATATCCCACGAAAAAAAGTTCCTAGGGTATAATGATTGTGTCCCGTCCGTCCGTCGTTGTAGGAGTTATGAGTCTTTGAACTCAGGAATCTGGTAAGATTTCGTTTGCTCAGTAACAGTGTGTGGCGTGGGATATATGAGCCTGCTCACAAAGGTTCTTCAATTAGCATAACGAATTATAAAAAGGTGAAAAATATACAAATAGTGCAGCGACATGCACGTAAGGGTGGCTCTCAACCTTAATGGACCAATTTACCTCCACGTTTAATTTCATCAAGCATGAATGTTTAGAGAAATATCGAAACTGTATGATTCACCTTGTCGTAGATTCCAAACATGGAGCAAAACTCTGGAATTTGAGATGAAAGGTCGATAACTGAGTTTTTAAAATTTTCTTTTAATTTCTAATTTAAGCCCAGAGGCTCGTATAGATGTTTTATGCCAGTCTACTGGTATGCGTTCTACATTGTGTTTATAGCACAAACATAATGAAGTCATGTGTTTTTCGTGTATGTATCATCAGAAGTCCATTACTAGACGAAGTGCAACCCGCTATGTAGTAAGGCAATCACGTTGTCCCCGTACTTCCAACTGTGATTGAAACGGGATTTGAGCGAGATTGCTATTAATAGTAACAAAAATCAATGGCCAATTTTTTTGCTATGCATTCTGAGTAGTAGAGATAATTTATGCAAAACACCCTATAACTTGATTAGCACACTGTTGAAAATAATGTTTGATCGTCGACGTGTTAATGAATAGCACATCCTAGCATATTATATCAGTGTCATGAGTCATTATGATGGTTTTAATATTAAATGATAAATATGTTTGTATAATTTATCAATTTAAAAACTACAATTATAACCGTAGAAAAATTGTCAGACGGATTAAAAAAAGCTCACTTCTTAATACAAATAGACTCAATAAACATTTGGTTTTAGAGTTAATTGTGAAAAAAATTGCCATTAAAAAGTTGGCAAGGAAAATTAGGTCGGAGAATTGTGTATCCATATACAGTTCAAGTAACATTGGTTAGGAATGAGTTTAATAGGAATAAACATTCTATTATATTTATTTTAAGAATATATGTTACGAATTACAAATTTCAAGAAATAAGTTTTTTTAAAAGTTACACGGGAATTCTGCAGATATAACCATTTTAGCAAAATTAACAAATTGTACCCTCAATTTTGAAAAAAAGAGGGGAAATTTAATTGTATAACCTTTCTTCAATTTCGAGTATCATCGATCTTGCGAAACTGAGATCTTGACGGTAATACTACCTCGGATGATGGTGTGGACGAACAAAGGTTATCATTTCAGTCAGATATTGTTACATTTATCCGTTAAAATACATGTAAAAATGCCGTTCACCACACGTGCGTTCGACCAAGGAGGTCATATAACCTCCTTGGTTCGACGTATAAATTTTATAGGTTAAAATTGTAGGACAAGTTGCGATCACGATCTTTGTAAACAAATGAGTAATAAATATATATTCTTTATGTAAGTATATATCTTTATGTAAGTATACTTCATACAGAAATATGACGAAGTCTTACTTCAAAAACCTCTAGTTTAATGTGTTCAAATACTAAATCAAAATCCCTGGAATTGTCCGGTTCGAACAGTAAAACCCTTTCTTACAAGTGTGGGATGTATACATTAATAGCAGCCGCGTCAGGTCGGATTAGGGACTTTAAATCCAGTACCTCGCGTATTCAGGATGAATGTTACGATCTCTGATGTTAAATATAACACTTGCGACAACTCTTTGATGGGATATGCATGATATATTTGCCTCTGAACGTAAAGCTAGCAACACACGATAAATCAAAACTTTAATCCGCATGATCTACAGATGTCTTCAATCTTGTGAGTATGAAACAAAAAAAGGACTATTACACGTTGCAACACTGACTCACGTATACATCTTATGATGGCGAACGTAATGACTGACAGACAGGAGAAGAGTATGTCTCTTAATTCAAAATAGCTAAAAAACAAGAGACTTTTGGAATTCGAAGTCATCTGAAGCATCAAATTGTCGGATATTTTTGACAAATGTATTTCGGTAGAAGCGAAGAAAAAACCCCGTCTTTTGCTTATTCATCAACGTATATAGCTTCCTTGATGCCGTAATTAAGTAACCGAGACATAATTCGTCAACACAACAAAAGAGGCAATTATGACTATATTTTGACAAAAACAACTATATCTTTTAAATAGACGATACATTTTCAGTCCGACACGGCAGATTTTGTTGTTCTCATTTGCCTTTGCGCGATGAAAAATGGTACCAATGTATTCGTTTATAAAATTTTATATCATTTTCTAAATGTTGAATTAAAATGAAGTTAATAACTGGCAATAAGAAACCACCGCACTAAGTCGGCTCACTTCATTTACAACAAACTGATAATTAATCATACATTCAAGGAGACTAATTAACAGCTATCTGTGTGATGATAATATTTGTACCCATGATTCCATAGTTATCAAACGAGATTTGGGAGGACCACCTATGGGGCTTTCCACTGATAATGGGGACATCGTGATCGCCTTACGGCAGATTCCATATAAGAAAGTGAAACAACTCCCGTAAGCACGTTAGGAAAAAATCATAAGCAATGAACTTCTGTTTTTGAATACATGCTTTACTAATAAAGATAAAGACAATTTGACCAAAAAAAAAATTATGAGCATCATCCTTTTTAAATAAACAAAGCCTTAAATATTATGTATCTGACATAAGATTTGACAGACTTTATTGTTTCAGACATAAGGATTTGACAGACTTTATTGTTTCTGACATAAGATTTTACAGACTTTATTTTTTCTGACATAAGATTTGACAGACTTTATTATTTCTGACATAAGATTTGACAGACTTTATTTTTTCTGACATAAGATTTGACAGACTTTATTATTTCTGACATAAGATTTGACAAACAAATTGAGTTTCTGACATAAGATTTTGACAGACTTGATTCTGACATAAGATTTTTCATACATAAGATATTTTGACAGACAATATATATTTGTTTTTTTTTGACTGACATTGGAAATCCAATCCCAGTTGAAAGTCATTTTTAAAACTCCTGGAAAATACTGCAGCCTAACATCTAACAAGATTTCACTACAGGTCAAAGAACTTTAACTGTTAGCACATTCAAATGTTTCAGACATAAGAAAACAAGTTTGACAGATCTTATGTAGGAAACATATAAGTTAAAACTATTGCTTGAATAAAGTTAAATGAAAGAATCAACATGTGTTTTTTCTTATGCACAGCATGACTTACAGTTTTAACTGGCATATATTGGAACCTACAATGATTTTGAAAGTTTTTACAGCGATGTTCTTGACATAAGATTTATTGACAGACACTGAGCTATAAAGCAAGATATTTGAAAGTGAAAAAAAATATATATCACAGATGTTTTTGACTAAAAAAAGTAACAAATTTGGGAACAGGGATGTTTGAATAACCAGACTACACTAGTAAATACCAGTATACAAGTGTCAACATAAAGCATTGCAACACATAAACATTGTGTAAAAAAATGGGAGTTAATTCTGTCAAAATTTTTGCATTTTTTCAACTTGTTTTAATCATTTCTACTTTAAACGGAAACAATCATATCCAAAAATTATTTTTATAATTTCTTCTAACATCATTATTCCTCAAAACATTCACAGATTATCTTTAAAATAACAGTAATTATTATTTTTATTTATTTATTCATTTTGACAGACATTTCAATTTCTTATATGGAATCTGCCTTACTATATAGTACAGCTTGCACACTTCGTCTAGTAATGGACTTCTGGTATCATGTATAATATTATAAAAATATATAATTTTGAAAAAAACTAAACGTGCTAAAGGTATGAGTACCATAATGGAAACACAAGGTATCTTATAATTCCATGAAATAACCGATTGTTACAAAAATCTATGAACGCTGGTGGTCTTTGAATACGTCATGTTTCTGTTACTATGTCATAAATCTCACATGTCTATACGATCGTTCATTGTGTTTCACTTCTCTGTATGTCAAATGCTACATGATACGAGCATGAAATCACATGCCGTTCGTGTTTACATAGCAGGAGATGTCGCTACATGTCGATGCTCATGAACTGTTAACCAAATCATTTTCGAATACCCTTTTTCATAATTTAACAGACCGTTCGAACCGACTCTGCGGCGATTGATTGCGGGAATTTTTTTTTTTTTTTATATATATATTTTTATATTAGAGAAAATCCAAGTTTGACATATTTCCGACTATTTACATTCGCCCAATTTTTCTCTAGCGAAAATTTGTCGGTTTCCAGTAGACTGTAACTATTTCTATAAAATTTTCTCTGCTTCATTTTCATGATAGTGTTGTTACGATAACATGGATTAACCACTTGACCCAATGGCATTATTTTTAATGTGAACATGCCCCTTTTTATTTTTACGTCAATTGTTAGGTGCGAGGTGCTTCAATAGACACTATATACATGTATATATCAATGTACTCACTGCACGTTGTCCTAATGTACTAGAAACATTCACGATGGATCCTAAAAAGTAAAAAAAAAATGATGACAAGTCATAATTTTACATTTACTAATTTTTTAAAAAGAAAACTGGTAAATAACGTATAAAAGTATCAACAAAAATACCGACCTCCAAGGTAAATTCAAAAATGGGGAATTCAATAAATACTGTAAGCCTATATTAACCAACGGAACGAATGCATAACAACTGTCATATATTGGTACAGGCATTTTCCAAAGAAAATGGCGGGTAAATAACGTATGTGACGTTCAGGTGTGTTTTTAGAAATTCGAATCTAGCAATGGTTGTGATACATTATTTGTTTTCAAATGAAACTCTTCATGATAATTTTGTGCCATTTTGCAGTTTCAGAGTTGTGGCTTGTGAAAACCCGACTATAAATTAAATAGTACTAATTGTCTAATGGTGAAATCTTGCAAAAATGGCATACATGAACGTAAACAAATTAAGCAGGAGAAAGTCAACAAAAGTTTGGAATAATTAGCTTTAAAACATACTGCTGTCTCGGTGTAATCTATCCAAAAACATTAAATGTTATTATTGTCTCTTTTTTCTTTTGGCTGGATGCGGCAATTTTGCGTGTTCGCCTTATGAGAACCATATAGACCAAATGGAGGACTATATAATATATAATACACGTAATGTATCAGCCCTCACGTTCAAAATCCGTATAGAGCTTTTTTCGGTTTAGAGAATTTGCTATTTGTACTCACCTTGAGTTTTAATAAGATGTGGAACACAAAGCCTGGACAAATTATAACTCGATTTGAAGTTGGTGTTCATTGTATCGTCTAGAGTAGCTGCTGATGTCGCCATTACATTACCCATGTTTCCTTTTCCTGCATTATTGATCTGATATAAAATGAGTACAGATGACGTCAAGATGATGATTGGTGTCAATATTCTTCAACTGTTTCTTATTGCATCATAGATTGCAGATTTTCGAATAGTTGTCAAATGTTGATGCTCTCAGAGATTTTTAGTATTTGAAGTCGAAAACATTTGATACCGAGCATACATATATTTTTAATTTGTTTTTCCTTAGAATTTTATTTCAATGTCACACTGATATCATTGTTTTAACTTGGTTTTTATTTTATTTAATTTTGTTAGAGTAAGTTATTGAGATCTTGCAGAGAACTGTATGAAAACCTGAATTAAAGCTTTTATAATCTAAAATCTCATTATATTGAATGCTGTTGTAAATATTTATTTGTACTTTTTTGTTTTTGACAGAGATAGACGTGTTACATACCAACACATCGATTCTTCCAAATTTCTTGACGGTCTCATCGACTAATGTCTTCAAATTGTCGTCATTAGTGACATCGCAAGGAATAACCAATATCTAGAAAATTGACATCAATATTAAGACATAACAAGTGTTCAACCCAACATAAACAACAAGTTGCTTTCTTTGAAAAAAAGAAATGCAATCTTGAACCTAAATGCCTGTTTGGTATATAAGATCAGATACTTGTTATATAAAGTTGCATGATTTTATCTCATTTTTTTCATATAAGATGTAGAAAAATTGCCATGGATTCTTAATGAAACTATTGTTCAATGTTGGGCATAATTTTCGTGTTATAGAAATCACTTCTCTCTCTCCTATCCCTTTCTCTTCCGATAGATAACTTTACAATATAGTAAATAGGAGGCAACCACTGTATGTTCCATTCTGATGTGTTGTTTTGGAAAATAAGAGGTAGCTTCCTGGCTAAATAGATATAAGAAGATGTGGTATGAGTGCCAATGAGACAACTCTCCATCCAAGTCACAATTCGGAAAAGTAAAGTCTACATGTAAATGTAAAAAACAATCTTTGTTTTGAAGAAGTTTAATGAAATGAATCATGATTATTTGTTTTTGTAGCCAGTTTGAAAATAGGTCAAAAGATAAGCTATATTCTTATTTGTTCACTCCGAACTAAAACCGTTTTGGAAAACCAATTACACTGGTTTATATGGTTTGGTCATTGGCTACCATATTTAGAATATGGTTCATCTCAATTTATTTATACTCATATAATGATATTGTTGATTTTTTGTTTTATACGATTGTGTGACAGACAGAGGGAAGCAGGCCGATAACAGTGTCAATTCGGTATAGCTGATGTCCAGTACGCAATCAAAAAATCGTGTTTTTGCAATCGCATGTCCGTTGAATACGGATATTGATTTTGAGAAAAATAATTTGTTACTAAGTTGTGCTATTTTTTGCTTATACATACAAACGTATAAAACAAATTGACGGAATTCCCAGAAACTTGCACTGATTTTTCCTTAATTTGCCGGGACATGAAACCCTCGCGGTTCACGCAACTACTGTTGTATAGTTCATGAACAATAAAATATGTTTAAACTAAACAAACTACCACGATATTTGTAATTTATCTAGTCTGATATACTTATTCACATATGGAGCAGGATCTTCCTACTCTTCTGTAGCTCGTGAGATCACTCCCGGTTTTTTGGTAGGATTCGTGTTGCTCAGTCTTTAGTTTTCTATGTTGTGTTTTGTATGCTGTTGTTTGTCTTTTGGTCTTTTCAGTTGTTTGCCATGGCGTTGTCAGTTTTTTTTCAACTTATGAGTTTGAATGCCCATTTGGTATTTTTCGCCTCTCTCTTAATCAAACACATCTTGATTAAATTTGAACGACAAATATCCAATCATTCGTTGACGGATTCTTTGTTTTTGCACTCATTACTTTAATAATTATGCCTTGGGTGTACATACTCTTAGCTATAGGAACCTGGTATAGGAAACTACAAAATGTATATTGAATTTCTTATAGTTAAATATAGAACCAGTAGAGGATAAACTATGTCGATTTTGTAGTTCACAAAATGTTGAAAGTGAACTACATTTTCTTATAAACTGTACATTTCATAATGATATCTGACAAACTGTTTTTAGCGAAATATTAGTGTTGCCTGACTATATGCAGCAAGATAACCAGGGAAAATTATCATTTCTAATGGTGAACCATCCAAGGAAAATAGCTAAATACTTAGCAGCATCACTTTTCCGTAGAAAACAAACAGTTTACTCTAGTTAACATTCTTAAACTTTTTCATAAACTTTTGAAGAACCATTTATGAACTGTTACAAATGCTAATTCTTAAATTATGATTATCTTTCTCTCTAATTTAAATTTAGATTGACAATTAACACGTGATATTGAAACATTTAATATATTGAATTGAAAGTAAAAGGTGACTTATTGGTCCATTGGGCAGGGTGTATTTTGTATGTCGGATTATATTTTGTACATATATATATATATATATATTTATGTTGATTTACACATGTCACTATAATAAACAATTTACTTACTTACTTACTTATAAAATAAAATAACAAATATTATTTAGCTAAAATATAAGCTTTGATATTGATTGATATGTGTTTGCTTAACACCAAGTGGCAGTCAAGCATAATGGGGATGAAAGGTGTATCGAAAAAAAGGTATAATGAAAAGAGATGGTTCTCCTACATGTACATACCCCTAGAAGAGTTTTACGAGGGATCTTCAACGTACAAAAATACTACTTCCTATACGAATAAATGTATAGACATAATGTTAAATGAACTAAGATGCGTCTGTTTTCTATACGGGATGTATAAATACACAGCCACGTCCTATTGGAATGAGAACTTTAAATCCATTGTATTATTAAGAAGACTTCACAAATATGTATGGCACGCCTGGACCACTTTTATAGATAATCCTAGATTATCTCAGATAAACTAGGATTATCTCACTATTTTACATTAAGCTCAGATAAACCGGGATTATCTCGATTTTTTTTCAGATAATCCCGGTTTATCTCAGAATTTTAAGATAAACCGGGATTTTCTCAGCTTAATGCATATTTGAGATAATTCATTATATTCTTCACAAAATTAGATAAATAATTAACTGGAGAAAATCCGGGATTATCTGAAAATTCTGAGATAATCCGGGATTATCTGAGAATTTTGAGAAAATCGATTAACTGAAAAAGAGTAGCCAATAGAAAGCCACGACACATTGGAGGAAAATTTCATGGTCATAAGGGATAAGATATAGATACAATGGTGCATCTATACAGATAGAGAAGAATGAAAGATTACGCTCTTACGGGAAACGTTTTAGAAGTTTTAAATTTCCAAATTTGATAAAAATAACAATTGATTTATTCAGGATGTACATGTATGACAAGTGTATCGATAATAATGAAGATCAGAGGGATCTAGAATTTAGAAGTTTGTCTTGAGAGGTTTTTTTAAGAGAATTTGAATGTTATATCCGTATTTGTCTTTATGAAGATAGTGAAATATGTTACATAAATCTGGCATCCGCACAATTAACGAGGACAAATAACTAAAATGTTGAAACAAGTTAAGCAAAGTTGAAATACACCATTTCGAAGTTCTAATGAGTTTCCTTTTAGAAAGTTATAATCTTTAAAAAAAAAAATATCACGCGCCGTTTTTCTTTCCTTAATTTTCCCTATTAAAAGAGTAAAATATGGTGCAGGAATTTATCATCCATTTATTGCAAAGTTTTACATTTTAGTACTAATGTCTTACTTGGTAAGTTGTATAAAGTGTTTGTTGTCAATTAGATAATCTAATCATGATAATGACAAATGCCCAATACCTGAAATATTTATTACCTTACAACTAACAAACGCTGAAGGACGCCATACTTTGCAATGGATTAGATCTATATTTGTTAACGTTTTCAAATTAAATAAACTGAATGGATTTCTTAAAATTATCAAATGGCTTTAATATTATTACAAACAAAACGAAACTTTTATTTAACATTTTTTGCAACTTTTATCTTTATTTTTGTTCTAAGAAAACCTTTCTTGCTTGGTTAACTAGTATGTGTTGATTACCTTCACTAATTACTAAAGATCAGACGACCTAATTAAGGATTTTATAGACCTAATCAACATGATAATTGGTATCGAATATGATCATCGGTCATGCATGACATATTCCAAATAACGGCGCGTGTTAATAAACACTTCAATAACTTCTGAAATATTCAATTAATTTTATTCAAACAAAAATATTAAGATAAAAAAATAAATAATTTATCGGACGCGTACCCTCAACGCCCACTAAAATATCTATTACATGTCCTGAGTGCACTCAGGAGGCCCTGAGCGGTTTTAAAACGTACCGCAAAATTATTACTTAAAATAATTTTTGTTGACTGTTAAATGCAATACATTTCAATTCATGGAGTGTCAGTGAGTTATAATATATTTTACAAATGAGGGCCCCACTTTGATAGTCCAACTTGAACACATTGAGCGATCGTATATATGCAATCAGGAACAGATGTATCCACGAAATTATATTAACATTTTATGAACTTGCCTGCTTAACTAAATCATGTTTTAGTTATAACATACACTTTTAATGTACTATTATTTATAAATCAATGTTTAAAATTCACATATATGTGCTAAGGTTAAAACTTCATGTAATATTTTAATACTTTATTCTTGTAAAATTTTTCATTAATAAATACTGTTTAAACTAAGATTAAAATTTCATGTGTCATACGGTCATTCCAAGTGTCATTCGGTCATTCGTGTTACGTATCTCCAGTACTTCTCTAAGAGCTAAAACTACCAAAAACAAGTTCACCAGAATTAATTGAAAACTTCCAGAAAAAGCTACTAATAAGCTTAAACTCTCATTACCAACTTATGTAGCAGATGTTACTATCAACATCCTAAACGGAATACTACCAGTAGAAGCCCAACTACATATCCGAGTACTTGGACTATTGAACAACATCTGTATCAGCCTGAAAAAAGCAAAGATAAATTGCTAGCTGACGACAACTTAAACTGAAAAATAGCCAAAGTTCTAGTTGCGTGTCGCTATAAAACATATGCCCAAGAAGTACGATCTACAAAATGGTACATGGACAACACCGTCAAAAAAATATTATGGACCTCCAACATCAAGAAAACAGTACAGAGCTACTAGTCTTAGAGTAACTTCAGTAAATAGCAACACTGTATTCTAGCTTCAAAGGCCGTACGGTGACCTATAGTTGTTAGTTTAAACACATTTTATTGTTCAAAAATGACAAATGGATTAGACACAAGTTTTTCAACTTAGTAACGTCTTCTCCTATTGTTGTCAATTTCTGTGTCATTTGGTCTCTTGTGGAGAATTGTCTCATTGGAAATCATATCACATCTTCTTTTTAATTTCCAAAACGACGAGTGTAAAAAAAAGCAAATATGCAAACATACAGCCTGATTTATATTTACAACAAAAACAAAATGAAATACAGGAACAAAGACTCAATTACACAATATGTCATGA